ATGTATTTAAATCAGTCAGCTGATCAATGTCAAATGAAGCGATTGGCTCAGACACGCTACATCGTGCGTCTGGAGGACAGGTGCTGATGACCGCTCACATGAACAGGATGTCTGTAATTGACTCAGATTTTCCCTCATTTTGCAGATTTACAGACRTTTAGAGTAATCTAACTATTTTTTTCAGAAACTCAGTTTTAAATTAATTTTTTCTCAGAGCCTGCATGATGATAAAAACAATAAATAAAATTAAACAAGTCAGATAAAGTTAGAAATAATTTCACCACTCTTCTACCCCACCGTCCCCCTCCTGCCTGCTTTATCTGCATATGACTGTCTTTTCACCCCTTCACATCCCCACAGTCTCACGCGCACATGAGAAATATGAACTTTAAAAAGCTCAAGCCCTTGTTGATGTATCCTCCCAGGGAATTTTAGATAAACATGCCAATCGAAGGCCAGCAGCTGGGATCCAAAAAGATAATTGTTTTGGGACAAGYGGCCTTGAATTTCCTTGCTGCTTTCAGTCTCTCTGCATCTCTGAAAATGGCGAAAAAAATACCAATGTTCTGAATTCTGTGTCTTCTCGCCTCACCCCGTCTGAAGCTTCACCCAGGTGTATTCCTTTTATTCCAAAGGCATGCTCCTGGGGTCGGATTTATAAAACTGGCGTATGCACAATTTGAGCCCAGAAACTTGCGTTCGCCACTTTTTACGCCAAGGTTGTGATTTATAAAATCCAAACTTGATGTGAAAATGTGCAGTGCCTCACGCCAGCTTTGACCCATGCGTACACTCATTTTGGAGACGGGAAACTGCGACACAGATGGTGAAGTGAGGAATTAGAGCCACACTGTGTAATGATCACTGTCAGGGATTTACTTTCACTTCATAATCAGACTTAGATTTTTATTCATCTCTATCATCAGCTTTCTTAACAGTTATATTTATGCTTCTGCTGCTAGCCACGAGGACCTTTGAGAAATAAAAAAAACTTAAATCTTAAATAAAAGTTCCCGTGCGCAAATCCCTTCATCTGCTCCCTCCTCAGACGACCCTGACTCACAGACCCCTCCCCGACTAGAACAGCAGAACAGCAAACGTCATGCTTTGGATACACACGCAGGGCGCATCCACCTCGCCAGTGTGGATGTCATGAAACCACATTTAAAGTCCGTGTTTGTCACCYGCGGGGGGAGGAGGGGCCCGTGTGTGTGTATGTGTGTGCGCGGGGCAGGGGTGTCTGCCGTGGATAACAGAGCAGGCAGGAGGGGGAGAGGACGAGGAGAAGAGCAGTGAACTTATTTTGAATTTTATCTGACTTGTTTAATTTTATTTTTATTGTTTTTATTGTCCTGCAGGCTCTGATGGAAAATTAATTTGAAGCTGAGTATTTTTTATAAAAATTGTTAGATTACTCTAAAGCAAAATGAGGGAAAATCTGTGTCAGTTACAGACATTCTGTTCACATGAGCAGCTGTCAGTCAGCACCTGTCATCCTCCAGACGCACGACGGATCGTGTCTGAACCAATCACTTTTGTTGGCATTGATCAGCTGACTGATTTAAATACATCTTAACATTCATGAGGTACTTTACATTGACTGTTTATGGTTGAATGTGGGTGTGTAGAGGGCAGAACCTGAGGTGGGACCTCGTGCGCGAACTCTGACGTGCGGCTGTGATTTATAAAAGAAAGATGCGCAGAAACGTGTGTACACACTGTTTTATAAATCTGATTTTTTTTTGGGCGTACGCCATTTCCGCCTTTTGGCCGTACGTTCACTTTTAATATGGTTTTTCGACACAATCCTTTATAAATGAGACCCCTGGGCAGCAATTCTCATCAGAATCACATCCAGTTTGATACTTATCTCCCCCAGCATCTGAGTCTGTGTGCTTCCAGATTGGCAGATTCTATCCATTTTCTCTGACAGCTTTTCACAGGCCCGGACTGCTTTCAGGATCGCTTTTATTTTCCGATAACTCAAAACTCTGCCACAGTCGATCAGCAGAAACCAGTTTTCATAAATCCTAATACAAGTCTTCCACGTCTTCAATGGAAAGTGGTGCTAAACAGATCAGGTTCCGATCTGGAACCACTGACCTGACCAGCAGCAACAATTCCACTGGGACAGCTACGTTCCCCTCGTTCCAATCTCAATGTGGAAAAAATAGTGTCAGTTGCGTTCAGAGACCAGTTGACCAAATCCATAGTTCCTTTTTGTTTTGGATGATGATAGACGAAGACAGGCTTGAAAAAGCTGCAAAGAAGGAAGGAGGGGCAGCTTCGGGAGAAAGAACTGCAGTTGTTATGTCCCCTCTGTCATCCAAGAGGCTCAGGGAGTCATCCTCAACACTGAGGTCCAAGAGGTTTAAGTGGTTGCCCATTTTGCTCGAGGGGGTCCCATCCATAGAATCCGAGCCACCWGGGTCAGATAGGGTCTTCCATGCTTTGTCTCTTGGCCAGTGCCTGAATTTTGGCTCTTCCATGCATCTGTCTATGCTTTTCTTTGTACCCTTAGTCCTGAAGGAAATTTATTCAGTTTATCACTGATTTTAATGCATCACACATACAGTTTTATTTTTGATTATGTATTTTGATTGCTTATTATGTGTAATTATCATATTTTTATGATTAAACTGTGATTTAGTTAATGTGCAATCTGCTTTGAATTGCATATGTCATGGCCATCTCAAGCAGAG